ATATTGCACCTTTTCTCCAAAATCGAGAGAACAGTAATAGAAGATACTTCCAAATCATACCTCTGATAAGGGACTTGTGTCTTTCCTATATAAAGAACTCTTACAACTCAGTAATAAAATTACAGATAACTCAGGTAAAAAAAATGGGTGAAGGATCTGAATAAACATTTGTCTAAAGGAGGTATACAAATGGCCAATAACTACATGAGAAGATTCTCAACATCATTAGTCGTTAGATGAGATACCTTCACACTATAGTGGCTATAGTCAAAAGGACAGACAATAACAAGTGTTGGCAAGTATGTAGAAATAATGGAACCCTTACACACTGGTGGGAATATAAAATGGTGCACTTAGAAAAACAGTGTCAACAGTTCCTCAAAAGATTAAACAGAGTGACCATATGACCCTAGCAGTTCCACTCCCCAGGTATATACCCTGGAGAAATGTAAACGTATGTCCACATAAAGACTTGTACATTAATGTTCGTAACAGAATTATTCATAATAGTCAAGAGTTGGAAATAATCCAGATGTCCTGTCAACTGATGAATGGATAAATGTGGAATATCCAAACTATATGGAATATTATTTGGCAATGAAGAAAAATGAAGTAGAGATAACATACTACAACATGGATGAACCTTGAAATGCTTTGTGAAAGAAGCCAGACACAAAAGGTCACATATTATTATGTGATTCTATTTATGTGAACTGTTCAGAATAACCACATCTGTAGAGACACCATGCATTAGTTGCCTAAGGCTGGGGGTAATGGGAGGGTTTCTTTTTGAGGTGACAAAAGTATTCTAAGATTGATTGTAGTGATGGTTGCACAACTGTATGAATATACTAAAAACCAGTGACTTGTACACTTTAAATTGGTGAAATATATGTGAATTATATCTCAATAAAGGTTATGCAAAATCACTAATAGAACTGAAACACTAGAAATTGACCAATTCCATTCCTCAGGTACCCTTATTAAAATTGATCCTAGAAGAGGCCTCAGGTTTTCCTTGGTGAAAATTATTCCTGCCCCCGCTTCTTTGAACAAATTGCTTGCTCATATTTTTGGTGTGGCTTAACAAAACATTTTCTGGTACTATGTGGATTTTATTATTATTACACTTCTGAGAAATTCTATCATGTGTTAGAGATATAGCAGTCTTCCATTTTAGTTATCTTTTACACATATATTTTTTTTAACGTTTATTCATTTTTGACAGAGTGAGCGAGCATGAGTCGGGGAGGGGCAGAGAGAGAGGGAGACACAGAATCTGAAGCAGGCTCCAGGCTCTGAGCTGTCAGCACAGAGCCTGACGCGGGGCTCGAACTCACGAACCGTGAGATCATGACCTGAGCCGAAGTCGGACACTCAACCAACTGAGCCACCCAGGTGCCCCTATTTTAGTTATCTTTTAACACACTTTCATCAGTATTTAAAACCAATATTGTGGCCAAAGCATAAGAGACTCTTAAAAACTGAGAACAAACTGAGGGTTGACAGGGGGTGGGAGGGTGGGGAGGGTAGGTGATGGGTATTGAAGAGGGCATCTTTTGGGATGAGCACTGGGTGTTGTATGGAAACCAATTTGACAATAAATTTCATATATTAAAAAAATAAATAAAACCAATATTGTGATTTCTTGAACCCATTCTTACGCTAATATTTTTCAGGTTTAAAATTATTTTTTAAAAGTTGGGAAAGATGATATTAATAGCACTCATTATTTTTCCTCTGTACTGCTTTTGTGTAGAGGGTATCTGTTAACATTATCCATGTGCCCAATAGTATATGGCAATTCAGTATTTGATATAAAGTAGAGGTGGAAATAGTAGTTCTATGTATAATGTGTCATTAAAATGAGCACTTTACATTTCAGTTTGATAGTAATACGTCTGTAGTATGTTATTTGGGCAGATTTGTGGCTTTACAGGTTTCTGCAGTAATGAAATTTAACAAAAGATGTTTCTTGAAACTTCATGAATGTCTTCTAAGTTTAAATTTAATACCTATGGGTTACACTTGAGAAATGTCATTCTACAGAATGCATTATGCATGGAAGTGAATTTTAAACCTTTTTAAAAAGAATATAAGAGTCTTTGCAGTATTTCTAAGCATTTAGGCTTAGAGTGTGGTTTCAAACCATAACTCTGAAAATAGACAACCCATTTCCCCTTAATGCATTAATTTTTTTTAAGAAATGAAAGTATTATGTGTACATTATTTTTAAAGTATCATGGAAAGCAACACATTGCTTTTTTTTTCAATTTTATTTATTTGTTTTTAAATTTACATCCAAGTTAGTTAGCATATAGTACAATAATGATTTCAGGAGTAGATTCCAGTGATTGATTCCCTATGTGTAATACCCAGTGCTTATCCCAACAAGTGTCTTCCTTAATGCCCCTTACCCATTTAGCACATCCCCCCACCCACAACCCCTCCAGCAACCCTCAGTTTGTTCTCTGTATTTGAGTCTCTTATCTTTTGTCCTCATTTTTATATTATTTTTGCTTCCCTTCCCTTATGTTCATCTGTTTTGCATCTTAAATTCCACATATGAGTGAAGTCATATATTTGTCTTTCTCTAATTTCGCTTAGCATAATATCCTCTAGTTCCATCCATGTTGTTGCAAATGGCAAGATTTCATTCTTTTTGATTAAAGCACGTTTCTAATCTTTTTGTCAAGAGGAAAATGTTTTGGTTCTTCATAACTCTTGAACAGTATACAAATTGCACTTCTAAAGTTTTTTTTTAAATGTTTATTTTTGAGAGAGAGAGTTTGAGCGGGAGAGGGACAGAGAGAGAAAAAGAGAGGAGGGGGGAGATACACAGAATCAGAAGCAGGATCCAGGCTCTGAGCTATTAACACAGAGTCCGACGCGGGGCTTGAACTCACGAACCGTGAGATCATGACCTGAGCCGAAGTTGGATGCTTAGCCAACTGAGCCACCCAGGTGTCCCTAAATTGCACCTTTTAAAATAAACTTTTCTGAAGTTATGTTTCACTTCAATAAAGTACACAAATTGTAAATGTTTAGGTGTAATGTATTTTCATAAAGTGAACATCTGTGTTACCCTATCTGGATCAAGAAATAGAATATTACCAAGCACCGCAGAAGACCTTACTCCCAAAGGTAACCTACTTGATTTCCAGCACAAATGATTAACCTTGCCTGTTTTTGAACTTTATATATAAACGGTTTCCTATAGTATGGATTTCTGCACAGCATTTGGTCTACGCGACTTACCTACCTGTGTCACTGCATCTAGAAGTAGTTCTGGTGCTGGATGGCATGAGCATAGTACAGTGTATCCCTTCTGTTGATAAAAATTTGGATTGATTCCATGTTGAGGCAATTAAAAATAGCACTGTTTTAAACTTTCTTGGCCTTTGGCTGCACACGTGTACACACTTGGGTAAAATCCTAGGAGTAGAATTAACTGGGTTGAAAGGTATCCATTTTGCCAGTTTTTCAAAGTGACTATACCAATTTGTTCTTCCAAAAGCACAGTACCTGATTGATCAACATTACAAAAGATTTAGTTCCCATAATCTCCCTATCCCCTGCTACTTTGATACTTTAAATTATTTTTAGGGGCGCCTGGATGGCTCAGTTGGTCACGTGTCCGACTCGTGATTTCGGCTCAGGTCGTGATCTCACGGTTCCTGGGTTTGAGCCTTCTGTCAGCTCCACATGGACAGCTGACAGTGGGAAGTCCGCTTGGTATTCTCTCCCTCTCTCTCTCTGCCCCTCCCCACGGGCACACATTTTCTCTCTCTCTCAAAATGCATAAACTTAAAAAAATTATTTTTAATTCTTCAGTTGGAAATACTATTGTAACTTGAAATAACAAGTCTCTGCTCTCCTATTAACTGGAAGGTAAACCTTTGTCCACTTGTGATAAGAGAAACACACTACTAGACAGCTACCCCTCAATTGTATTATTCAAAAAAAGGAAGATGCCCTCCTTCATACAGAGAGGAAATGTATAGAATTCAAATTTATGCCACATCATATGACCAAGTAGTGTTAAGGGGTGAGGGAGAATCCCATAAATGAATGGGGTTAACAATAGGATAGAAGAGAGAGTAAGGTAAATTTTACTGATTTGAGAATAAAATACTAGAATACTGCCTTCTCTCCCATGCCTACTGTCTATATTTGTTAGGGCAGGGATAGTTGCTTAAAACATTATTCTCAAAATTTCTGTGGCTTAATGTGAGAGAAATTTATTTTTATGCTCCTCTAATCCAGTGTGGGTGTTCTTTGTAAGAAGGGCAGCCTTCCCTTGTAAGTACATGGGACTTAGGGGCCTAGACTGTCACATTTCATCCTGTGGCTGTGCCATCTGTCAGGGCGTAGGAGACCTCTGCATTCAGCCAGAGTGGGGAAGAGATGATGGGGAAAGAACGTGTGCTTCTAAGAATAAAAGTCTTGTTGCAGAAGGGACAGTCTTTACTTGGTCTTATATTCTATTGGTGGGAACTTCACATGGGAGTTCCACTTACATATGGGGGCCTGGGCAACGTAGTCCCAGGCGGACATTTGTCCAGTAGTGCCAGCTCCACAGGATATTGGAGGAGCATGGGTGTTTGCTGGATAGCTGGTGAGCCATCTCTGCTGCACCATCTCATCAAGGATAAGACCAGGATAATTAATGGTCACTAACTTGGGAGAATTTCACTTCTAAGATGCTAATTATTTTAAGTAGTGAATTTTTATATGGAGCTAAGTTTAGATTTACAACTAAATGTCATTTCTCACTTCTTTTGGTACCACTTAGTTGTGTGATTTACTTTAACTTTAATTTTCTTATACTTTATAGTTACATCACCTGTCTATGAAACTTAGAAATTACCATGTTTATATCAGTTTTACAAATCAGTAAGAAACAAAAAAAGCTGTCAACCTATGGTATGTCGTTGGATGTAAACATTGATTACATTTGATATAACCCCTCTTCCATCTTTTTTCCTCCTTCTGTCTAGTTTGTGATTGGCACAATGGAAGAAGCTGGAATGTGTGGGTTAGGGGTGAAAGCAGACATGTTGCGCAACTCTCAATCAAATGATATTCTTCAACATCAAGACTCAAATTGTGGTGGTACGAGTAACAAGCATTCATTGGAAGAGGATGAAGGCAGTGATTTTATTACAAGGAACAGGAGTTTGATGAGCCCAGCATACTGTACACAAGAATCGAGGGAGGAAATTCCTGGGCGAGAGGCTCGAACAGATCCCCCTGACGGTCAGCAAGATTCAGAATGCAACAGAAACAAAGAGAAAACATTAGGTAATAATCTGTGCTCCGTGATTGGGCATTTTCACATGCTGCTCTTTTTACTTCTGCTTTCTTCAGTGCAGGTGATCTTGAACATGGCCGGTGTTGAGACACATGTTGTTTAGCTAACACAACTCTTGTCTGCAGTGGAGTCAGTCTGTATCTGCTGCCTTTTGTGTAGGAGACAAAGAGCAGGAAGTTGTTTTCCCTAAATAATCAAGAATAGGCTTTCTTGACAAAATTTGGGGCCAACTTGACAGAAGTAGTATTTGACTTGCCTTTTTGCATCTGAAATGGAATCTGACTGGAATTTACTGTGAAAACTGTATATTTATTTGATTTTTTTGAAAACTCCTCCTAAAACTTTAGAGAAAACATAATGTCTGGAGTTCAGAAAGTGGGTTAAGACTGGCTTTCAAGGGTATGTTTTCTTTTTCCTGCTGTGTTTGAGATTGAGGGCTAAAAAGGTAATGCATCAAATCTTGTTAGGAAATCCGAAATCCCCTTTTATTTTAGCTTTACTTATTGCCCCTAAGTTTTTTATACTTACTATACATATACTAAGATTAATAGTGTTAGATTTGTATGGTTTTATCCATAGAATTATCCTTATATATTTTTTAAGTTTATTTAGAGAAAGAGTGAGAGAGGGAGGGAGGGAGGGGCAGAGAAAGAGGGAGAATCTCAGGCAGGCTCTGTGCTGTCAGCACGGAGCCCATCCAGGGCTCAAACTCAAAAAACCATGAGGTCATGACCTGAGCTGAAATCAAGAGTTGGACACTTAACCAACTGAGCCACCCAGGCGCCCTGAATTATCCTTATTAAATCCATTTTCTGCCAACTTGGAAAACCTAAAAATTATTATAGAAAAGACAAATAATTTTAATTCCTTACAAATAAATTTCTTCAAAATTGGCAGCCCCAATTATTTGTGTGAAAGCAGATGGAGTCTTAAAAAGTTACACATAATGTTACCATGTGACCCAGAATTCTACATTTAAGTATGTACCCAAAAAGGTTGAAAGCACATGTCCATACAAAAATGTGTACACGAGGATTCATGGCAGCTTTTTCCATAATAGCCAAAAAGTTGAAACAATACCGTTATCCACCAGCTGATGAATGGATAAATAAAATGTGAATCTGTACAGGGGAATATTATTCAGTTCTAAAAAGGAATGAAGTACTGATAACATCCTACATGGGTGAATGTCGAAAATGTGCTAAATGAAAGGAACCGGACACAAAAGTCCATATAATAGGTTTCCATTTTATATGAAATGTTCAAAATTGGCAAGTCTGTGGAGACAGAAAGTGGAATAGTGGTTGCCAGGGTCTTAGAGTGGGAGCGAGAGGGAATGACTGTTAATGGATATGGGGCTGCTTTTTGGGGTGATGAAAATGTTCTGGAATTAAGCAGTGGTGATGGTTGCACAACTTTGTGAATGCACTCAGTTGTACACTTTTAAAAGGGTGAATTTTGGGGTGCCTGACTGGCTCCGTCGGTAGAGCATGTGACTCTTGATCTCATTGTTGTGAGTTTGAGCCTCATGTTGAGTGGAGAGATTGGTTTAAAAAATAAAGGGGTGGTTTTTATGGTATGTGAATTTTATCTCAAAAAAACCAAAAAATAAGAAAACCCAGATGGAGTATGGGTTTTTAAATCTTGATTAAAAGTTGCAGGTTATATTATGGCTACTTCTAATCCTATTTAATAATCATGTTTAGTCATCTCTTAAAATTCTTACTGGCCTTGGGCTGTGAATGAGAGGTTTTGGTATTGTGGATAGGAAGGTGTTCCATTTTGAAGTCATTTTTTCTTTAAAAAAAATTTTTTTTGATGTTTGTTTATTTCTGAGAGACAGAGACAGAGACAGACCGTGAGCAAGGGAGGGACAGAGAGAGAGGGAATCACAGATTCTGAAGCAGGCTCCAGGCTCTGAGCTGTCCGCACAGAGCCTGACGTGGGGCTTGAATTCACAGACTGTGAGATCATGACCTGAGCTGAACTTGGGCGCTCAACCGACTGAGCCACCCAGGTGCCCCAAAGTCATTTCTTTCTTCATAGCAGTCTATATACCACATAACAGAGTCATTTTAATATATATTTCTAGGGGCTCCTGGGTGGCTCAGTTGGTTAAGCATAGGACTCTTGATTTCAGCTCAGGTCATGATCTCATGGTTCATGAGTTGAAGCACCACGTCGGGCTCTGTGCTGACAGTGCAGAGACTGCTTGGGATTCTCTCTCTCCCCCTCTCACTGCTCCTCCCGTGAGCACATATACATGCTCGCTTGCTTGCTCGCTCTCTCAAATAAAATGAACTTAAAACACACACACACACACACACACACACACACACACACACACACACATATATTTCTAAATGAAATATCCTACATATAAGAGAAAACATTTTTAAAAATAAGAATGGTTTTTTAAAAAATAAAACATTACAGGGGAGCCTGGGTGGGTCAGTCGGTTAAGCATCCGGCTTCGGCTCAGGTCATGATCTCATGGTTCATGGGTTCGAGCCCCGTGTCGGGCTCTGTGCTGACAGCTCAGAGCCTGGACCCTGCTTTGGATTTTGTGTCTCCCTCTCTCTCTGCTCCTCTCCCACTCATGCTCTGTCTCTCTCTCTCTCAAAAATAAATAAACATTAAAAAAAAAGATTTTAAAAATAAAACATTACCACTTATTTTGAAAGACCATTTGTCCTCTATCTCAGCCACCTGCTTCTCCCTGCCAAAAAGTTTTAAAATTACTGTTTTTAGTGCCTCTCATGGGGAAAAGAAGTTATGATGACATTCTTTTATATACACTAAACTTGGTTAACACATGGAATGTGCTTTTACTAAATCATCAGAAGTTATTTTAATTGCTCATGGAAAAGATATATGTCACAAGTGATTATGTGCATCTGAGATAGAAAGTACCAACTGAAATTTCTTTTGAACTTGCTTCTATATTTGTACTTGGTGAGGAAGCTTTTAAAAATATTCTGCCCTTTGTAACTTGCCCTTTGTCTTAACTTGGACACCAATGGTTAAGCAAGGGAATTTTAAGCCTTCAGCAAGAGTTCTTACAAATAGCTAGCGGTATTAATGAAGAAATTTGGGGGAGGTGGGGGTTGCGTGCTAATCCAGAACTTAAAAATAACTTTCTTAATTTAGCTGGTAAATCTTACTTCTAGTTGTAGGCACAAATTATTTCACTATGGCTATCAGAACATAGGAAGTGTTCCATAGAATTTACAGGTTAAGTTTGATCTCACTCTTCTGGGACTTATTTCTTATCTTGTTAATCATCAGGAAAAGAAGTTTTATTATTGATGCAAGCCCTAAACACCCTTTCAACTCCAGAAGAGAAACTGGCAGCTCTCTGTAAGAAATATGCTGATCTTGTGAGTATTAAATAAAGGTAGTAAGGTTCATATGAAATACAGCAAAATATGTACGTACTTGATGTAGCTTTAGATGTAACACATTGTATTCCAAAATTGAAGAGGAGACTGTTGTTCTTGGGGCTTTTTGTTGCTTGTATGACTTCATTTTATAAGGTGATACATATAGAACATTGTAATGCTAAGATACAGCATAGATTTTTTAAAACTCAGTTTTAGGAATGAAAAGGCTGACTTAGAAGCACTGTGTTGTGATGCTTTAGATGCTAGTTGGGGTGTAGTGGTTCCTGTACTTAACTTTGTTCCCAAGGGAATTCTAGAGATAAAGGCTCTACCCATTGTAAATGAAATTGTGAATTAGATGAAATAGTCTACTAAAACAATACTGTCTCAGGAAATCTTTATTTCACATCTGTGTGCCAGAGATTTCTTTTTCCATCTTCGAAAGACACTGACCTCATTTGTTCTGTGCCTATGTTATTTCAAGTAGCATTAGTTCTCTTTTTAAATTTTTGAAAGAAGTCTCAACATGAAAACTCTGCCATTCTGTTTAAGTTGAAGAATAGGGAAGTCAGAACCCTTTGAAGTAAGGGTTGTGGGAAACTTTTAGAGTAGTTGTAATATAAATGCTAAAAGTAATGCCTTTTGTAAAACTAGTGTGAACTATTGACAGTTTTTATGCATTTTCATTTGTTGTTAAAGCAGTTGTTACATGTCATAAATAGTACTTTTTGTCATTGACCAGCTCTAAAAACGAATTGTTTTATTACTCAAAGAATTCTAGTTACTCTCCCTTGATTTATAAAGGGGTGTGTGTATTCCCCCACGTAGCTGGCATTCGGCAGCCTAGCACCTTCTAGTCAGAGCAACAGGAAACCTTGTGTGACAGTATAAATGGCCCAGAACAGTCACAGATGCAAAGATGGCAGAAAACACAGTGTGTTCAGATTGCTGGCTTCAGGAAAGGAATGCTTCCGTCTGCAGAAGACAGTCGCTGTTGGTTGCATCCGCATGAGAATCCTGCGAGGAGTGATGGGAAAAGAAGACAAGGTCAAAAAAGGGAAAAGAGAAAAAGCAGTGTAGAGGGTTAGCTACTTGCCCCAGTATTGTGATGATGGCAGACTGCCGTGAATAAGTTAGAAGAAGAAAGGACAAATAGTCGCCTACGGCAGTCCTTCTCAGATTCACGCATGTCATTGGAACTTCTGTTAAAAGGCACATTCTGATTCACTGGGTCCAGGTTTGGGCCTGAGAGTCTGTATTTTAACAAACTTCCAGCTGGTGATGATGTTAATGCCGTTAACCCTGAGATCACACTTCAAGTAGCAGGGGTCTATGGTGTTTTTATTTGTGGCTTTTGTGTGTGTGGAGGTGGGTATGGTTATTTTTTTAAGTACCAGTAATGATAACTGCATTCAATTCAGGATGCGTAACACATTGGAGATTGGCCTAGTGAGTAACCTGACTTATATTTGTGCTGAATTTATGAAGGATGAGATGTGTACTGTTTACAGAAAATGTACTGAAGTTTTATTTGTTGAAACAACACTCATTTCTTTTAAAAGGTATATAGGCTATATAGCAGTGAGACCGTGAATGGAGTAGCCTTTTCCTAAGGATTATTTAGAGACCTTCCCTTTTGCCATCACTGTCCTCTGCCCTTTAGGGGGTGGCATTATCTGCCATCACTGATGCCTGTGGCATGGATGAATAGAAAAGGCAGAGCAGGTAGAGTGGCGTGTTGCACTGCAATCGGTATTGTCCATTGGGGAGACCTTGTGGCCTCCACATTTACCAGATAGCATAGGTTCACGAAATCCTCACATTTCACTTGCTAAGTGTGGATACCCTTAGGCTGGTAACACGATTCTTTTTTTGAGAGAGAGAGACAGAGACAGAGAGGAAGACACAGGATCTGAAGCAGGCTCCAGGCTCTGAGCTGTCAGCATAGAGCCCGATGCGGGGCTGGAACTCACGAACTGTGAGATCATGACCCGAGCCGAAGTCAGACGCTTAACCGACTGAGCCACCCAGGCGCCCCTTACAACACGATTCTTAAGTACTTGTTATAGTGCTATTCTTTCCCATTCCTTAGTTTGTGTAGATTATTATAGTGGGATAATAAATCTTGATATCTGGTGGCATAGGTGTTGTATGTATCCTTCTTATTACTCTTTTTGCCAGAAGTATCTTGGCTACTCTTGGCTCTTTATATAAAATTCTAAGTTCAACTTATTGGGGAAAATTGGGGGAAGAAACACCAGTTGGGAATTTTGAAGAGCATTTCATGGAATCTGTTGGTGCGTTTGGGGGAGAATCGCCATCCTCCTGAAGTAGATGGAATTTAAAAAGTATATATCCTCGGTTGCCTGGCTGGCTCAGTCCATCGGGCATGTGACTCTTGATCTTGGGGCGGCGAGTTTGAGCCCCACATTGGGTATAGAGATTACTTCAAAAAAAAAGTGTATATCCTTATGGGAAAGAAATTAGGTTCTTAGACACCATACACGATGATTAGTTCCAAATGGGTTAAGGAATTTAAATGCCAAAAATTAAGCTTGAATAATTTTAGATATTTAGATTTATTTAGATAATAAGCGAATATTTTTCTAAATTGGGGTTAACGGAAGGATTTCTTACAAAAAGCACTATCAGAGACAGGATTGCAAAAATTGGCTGTGTTAAAATTAACTTACTGTTCAGCAAAAGACATTAAAAAATTGGGAAGAATATATTTCCAACAAACAATATGTAGTTTCAAGGCTATCTAAGGAATACCTACAAATGAATACAAAAAGGACAAATAACCCGATGGAAAACTGGGCAAGAGACATTTAAGAGGCATTTTGTAGAAGTGGAAAAACATGAAGATTCAAAGATCTGCCTTAACATAAAGGTACATAAACATACAAAGAGATGTTCAACTTTATTAGTGATCAGGGAAATGCAAATCTGGACCACAGTGAGATGCGATTTTATGTCCATTGTAGTGGCATAAATTTAAGAATTCTGGTTGTACTTAGTTTTGGAGAGGATGTGCATCTATATCTATATGAACCTCTTATTAATCGCTGATGGGAGAATAAATTTGCCAGCCACTCTGGAAAACAGTTTGGCATTGTCTTGTGAAATAGACCATTAATCACTGCCTAGCAGTCCCACTCCTGGGTTTGCACCCAGAGAAATTCTTGCATGTGTCTACCAGGAAACACATAGGGCAGTGTTCATATCATTGTAAGTAATAAAGTCTGGAAACAACCCAAATGCCCATTGCCTTGAGAATGGATCAAATATGTTGTGTGTGGTATATTTTTAAGTGGAATGTGACCAGTGGGCCAAATCTGGCAAGGCCGGTTTTTGTACTGCCCACAGCTAAGAATGGTTTTACATTTTTAAAGTGTTTAAAAAAAGAAAATGACACAACAGACACAGTATGTGGCCCACAAAGCCTAAAATACTTACTTTTGGCCATTTACAGAAAAGGTTTGCTGCTCCCTGATCTGGCAGACAATTTGGATGAGTTCCAGCAATCTAATCTACAGCTGTGCTGTCCAAAATGGGGCAGCCATTAGCTACGTGTAGCTGTTTAAGCTTAAATTAATTTAAATTCAAGAAAATGAAAAATTCACATCAGTTGTACTAGCCACAACAAAGTCAAAACGACTCTTTAAGGACCACACACAGATGAGATAAAGAGGGGAGAGCAAAGGAATTGTGAGCCCAGGATTCAGGATTGTGATTACCTTGAGTCCGGGAGGGCAGGGGGAGTTTCCAGCTCACGGTGGAGTTACAGATAGTGTGTGCAGACTGGAAGCTTCTTGGAACTGTCACAGCCCACAGTCCATCTACTTTGCGAAAGTATTTTACAAAAAGAAAATTATTTTTCCTGGAGGAATTTCTCTAAGGTTGTTTTTAATAGCTGTAAGCCTATGGCCTGTAAGGATGCTTGGAATGTTTTGACAGGCCACAAGGTGTCGCTCTTGCTCTTGAAATTGACTGCATCATTTCCTTCTGTGAAAGGTTCGTAAGGCTGCTGTCTTATCTGTTAGTGTTGATTGAACCTTGAAATAGACTCATTTGCTCCAAACCTAAAATTGCAGCAGTTCCCCTCTCACTCAAAAAAAATCCTGAGTGCTGCTTGTTCTAATTTGGGTAACCATTTCAGTAGAGTAGCTCGTGTGTATTTTTCAGAAAAGTAAAACTCGATGGTGTTGGTTTCTAAAGTTTTTCCAAAAACATTTAAAAATTTTTAATAAAATTAGATTAAGGGGTGCCTGGCTGGCCCAGTGGGTGGAGCCTAAGACTCTTGATCTCAGGGTTGTGACTTTGAGTCCCCATGTTGGGGGGAGAGTTTACTTAAAAAAAAAAAAAAGATGTATTTTTTTCCCTACCCTAAATTATTTGCTTACTCTCCTATCACAACTGGAAGAGAGACAAGGTTGGCAGAGTAGCATGACACAAAAATAATTTAAAGAAAATCTTGTACTACAATATTTGATGTTTGAAAATGTGTTCCATAGTTCTTACTGTATTTCCTCCAGCCATAAATCAAAGGTTTTCATTGTACTTCCTAATTGTAAAGTGCTTATTAATTTTAGCTGGAGGAAAGCAGGAATGTTCAGAAGCAAATGAAGATTTTGCAGAAGAAACAAGCCCAGATTGTGAAAGAGAAAGTTCATTTGCAGAGTGAGCACAGCAAGGCTATCTTGGCAAGAAGCAAACTAGAGTCTCTTTGTCGGGAACTTCAGCGTCACAATAAGACATTAAAGGTTAGTTGGTTAAGTTTTCTGTTTTTCAAGAGGTACTGACTCTGACGTAGCTTGCTTTATAATTACTGTGTACATATTTAAAATAAATGCTGCTCTCTGCCTGGAGACAGATACCAGCCACATTCTACTGTTTTGCTTGGCCTGATGCTTCTTAATGAACCTCATACCTGGTCATGGGGAATCTAATTGAGATTGATACTTAGACGACAGCTTTCCTGCCTGGAGTCCTGGCTTAGGAAGCTCAGAGCTGCAAGTTTTCTGCTGAGCACTGATGTAGTTAATCACCACGTATGAAAAGTTGAAGTGAAATGAGAAGCTGAGGAGAAACAGAGTTGAGGCAGAGACTGAGCCTGGGAAGGGAAAACACCTGCCGAGCTCCTTAAGGGCTGTTAATCAGCTACATTGCCAAACCACCCTTGCCTCCCCCCCACCCAGTTGCTAAGTACTTTTAGAATAGCACTCAAATCTTGGCTGAATATAAAGGAAGACAGAGCAGGTACCCAAAGATGAATTGGTGCCAGTAGGGGAAGAAGGAAAAAGAGCCAGAGACATGGAGAGGCAGGCCTGCCCTCATGTACAGCTTTGGTACGATTTTGACTAAGCAGGATCTCTCCTCAAACTGCCCCAGCACAGCAAATGCCCAAGGCCCTAGAATATAGTTGCACTCAGGAAATGGATCTTTACCTACTGTGGGAGCTGTTAGTTTTTTTGGCTTTTGAATCCTTGTATTTACATAATCATTAAAGTAGGTATGTTTTTCTTGTAGCAAATCAACATTTTGATTGGACTGATAGCTGTTTAGACATATAGAAGTCTTTTAACACTTGTATCTTAGCAAGTGTTGAAAGTAAGCTTTTTAAGATACAGGTTTCTTTTGTCCCTTGGCTTCTAGGGAGTAGTGTAACCAAGAAGGTAAGCTGCAAGGAGGAGTCTCTCGGCAGGCTGGTTTCAGATACTGCTGTGTAACTGGCCGGGAGGGTGGAGGGAGCTGGCTGTGTGGGGAAGCAGCTCCTTACTTAGCTTTCAGTACAGCGAATTATTCTATCTACTCAGGCAAAGCTGCTGGCTTATTACATGAGAAAAATCTGGTCACAAATACAGGGAAGGAATACTTCAGGGTAGCAATAAATGAACCCCCGTGGCAGCAGCTTCTTTTATGAGCATCTTCTCTATAGGTCTATACCATTAACAGAACTTATTTTGGATAATAAGGAAGAAAACATGCAGCAGGCACGAGAGGAGGAAGAAAGACGTAAGGAAGCCACCGCACACTTCCAAATTACTTTAAATGAAATCCAAGCACAGCTCGAACAACATGACATACACAACGCCAAGCTCCGCCAGGAAAACATCGAACTGGGAGAGAAGCTTAAGAAGCTCATTGAGCAGTACGCACTGAGAGAGGAGGTAAAGCCATTTTCTGGGTGTAGACAGCTCATTATCAGCAAGGATTTTTCACCATTCACGACTGAAGGAAAACTGCCATCACAGGAGGTTTAGGGACTTCTGTATGCATAGGGGGAGCCGGACATTTCATGGGAGAAGCTCAACCACCATGGGAACAGGAGTCTTGGGGACCATCACTTAGATAGTGGAGAGTCCATGGATTTGGGGAGGTGAGGCAATTTCTTGGAGACGTGTTAAGTACTACTTGACTTCCATGTAATACTAGAAGATTATGTTTTTAGCATGCAGGTTTTTCCCCTTATCTAGACTAATAATAAATATTTGGCCTCCAAATATGCTGTAACTCAGATATATGTGACAGTCTGGACAGTCTATATTACCACCGTATTACACCTGTGTTTCACATTTCTTTTTTTTTTTTTTAATTTTTTTTTAATGTTTTATTTGTTTTGAAGGAGAGAGAGAGAGAGAGAGAGAGCGTGAGCGGGGGACGCGCAGAGAGAGAGGGAGACAGAATCCAAAACAAGCTCCAGGCCCTGAGCTGTCAGCACAGAGCCCGACGCGGGGCTTGAATTCACAGACCACGAGATCATGACCTGAGCCAAAGTCGGACGCTCAACTGACTGAGCCACCCAGGCGCCCCTCACATTTCTTTTTATTTTATTTATTTTATTAAAAATTTTTTTAACATTCATTGTGGAGAGAGTGTGAGGGGGGAGGGGCAGAGAGAGAGACAGACAGAATCTGAAGCCGGCTCCAGGCTCTGAGCTGTCAGCACAGAGCCCGATGTAGGGCTCGAACCCATGAATTGTGAGACCATGACCTGAGCCAAAGTCGGACGCTTAACCCACTGAGCCACCCAGGCACCGCTCACATTTCTTTTCACATGGGGGCTTTATACTATGTGAGAGGATAAGTAAGAACCTATTTCTCAACTCTCCTACCCATTAAAGTAAAAAATTGACTGGAAGGATCCATGCCTGCTGATCTTGATCATTGGCCTCCAGCTAAGACTTTTTCAAGCTAGTCAGGAAGTTCACAGGTGCTGTCTGTGTTAAACAGGCCATCGCCTATTTGCTTTTTCTAAGGTTCCTTACTTTTGGAGGTCAAATGGGCAGGACTAGAGGCATCAGGCTTTTGAAAAGCCTTTGAAAAGCCTTTGAAGTTAGGGAAATGTGCTTCTGTGTGTGTGGTAGCCCTACACAAACAAGTAGATTAAAATAGCCGATTAACATTAAACAATAAGATGAGCACCTCTGTGGGTCACTTTATCCAGTTTTGAAGGCAAAACTTTAGATCATATTAACTTACTTTCAGCCCTTCAGAAGCTGTTATTTAAAAGATTTTTGTTTCTGGTTTTTTTTTTTTTCTTTTTTAAATGTTTATTTTTGAGAGAGTACAAGCAGGGGAGAGGCAGAGAGAGAGGATCCAACGCAGGGTCCTTGGTGACAGCACAGAGCCCGATGTGGGGCTCAAGGTCACAAGCTGTGAGATCACGACCTGAGCCGAAGTCAGATGTTTAACCTACTGAGCCACCCAGGCACCCCTAAAAGAATTTCTTTTTAATCACTCTCTCTGCCTTTTGCTTTTTGTTGTTGTTGTTGTTGTTAATGGAGAATTACACACTTAACAGTAGAGAGTATATTACCTGGTTTCAGCAGGTGAAACCATAGTTTCAGCTTTATTCCCATCACCTTGCCCTGGATTATTTTGACACAACTTCAAGGTGTCCTGTTTATTCCATTCATATGTATTTGACGGTGTACCTCAAAAAAGACAAGGGATGCTTTTTTTTTTTTTAATTTTTTTTAATGTTTGTTTATTTTTGAGAGAGAGAGACAGAGTGCGAGCAGGGCAGGGGCAGAAAGAGGAGGAGACAGCAGGCTCCAGGCTCTGAGCTGCCGGCATAGAGCCCAAAGCAGGGCTCAAACCCACCAAGTGTGAGATCGTGACCTGAGTTGAAGTCGGATGCTCAACCGACTGAGCCAGCCAGATGCCCCATGGGATGCTTTTTTCAAGCACAACCACAATATCATTTTCATACCTAAGAGAATTAAAACAATTACTTAACATTTAATATTGAGTCATTATTCAATTTCTGCGGTTCCCCCATGCCCCCCACCCCCCTTTTAAGCTATTTGAATCAAGGTCTAAATAAAGTCTGTTTCACTGGTTGATAGGTCTCAAGTCTGTAACATGAAGATTTCCTTTTCACTCTTTTTCCTTTTTGTAAAAATTTTTTTACTTAAAAAAATTTTTTTTTAATGTTTATTTTTTGAGGGAGAGAGAGAGAGAGGGGCAGACTGCAAGTGGGGGAGGAGCAGAGAGAGAGACGGAGAGACCAAATCGGAAGCAGACTCCAGGCTCTGAGTTGTTAGCACAGAGCCCGATGCGGGGCTCGAACCCAAGAACCGCGAGATCATGACCTGAGCCAAAGTCCAATGCTTAACTGACTGAGCCACCCAGGCGCCCCAACTCTTTTTCCTCTTAAGGGGTTTATCGAAGGAACTTTTTTGTCTTAGAGAATAAATTTTGTATTAGATTATAAACCCCTCAATTTTCTTAAAATTATTCTTTTAGTTTTGTTTAATATGACAGTCTGCCACGTTATAGATGTAGAACACTTGAAAATTCTGTATGTTTAAATCACATTACGTGTGAGACTTCCTTATTTTGAATATAATCAGATGTTCTTTGGTCAGGAAGAGTTACTCTTTCTGCATCTGAGAAGGGATGTTCTGATGACTTTATTGTACATAAATAACCACCTGACAATTTCATTTGGAAACCATAGCAACCTTTTACCAAATTTTAGTATGTGCTAGGCACCAAGCACCTTACGTAGTGTAACCATTGCACCGGGTCTTACAATTCTGCCGCAGAGTGTGGTTCTCCCTGCTTAGAGGAGGGAACAGAGATTTGGCAACGGAGAGATTTGTCCAGGGCCACACACTAGCCAGAATTTGACCGGGGCCACGTCACAGCGTGCTGCCTCCATCTGAGAAATTTGGGGAAATTTAAGATTTGCGGAGAAAAATACCTAGGAATTATGTGTATGATGCACGGCGTTAACAGTTTGATCTCTTTATCCGTATTTTTCTTGATACACTTTAAGCCTCGTTTTCATCGTAGGGCAGAAATAGGAAGTACAGGTGTGTGGCTGATGAGGCTCCTCGACAGCCCAACTCCAAAAGGGAAGGGGTACAGGGTAGTAGCCAGAAGGCTCCTTTCCTGCAAGTGTGGGAGGGTCTGCAGTGTGATGTAAGGCACACGCTTCTCCAAGCGCATGGACCCGGTGTCCTCAGCTGTGGTGGAAGAGCAGGGTGATCGTGAGCGTGGTATCGTAACTTGTGTTGTTGCCCCATCATTGTGTTCCTGTTTCATTAAGTGATGGAAGAAATCTTACTTCTCCCATAGCATATTGATAAAGTGTTCAAACATAAGGAGTTACAGCAGCAGCTTGTGGATGCCAAGCTTCAGCAGACGACACAGCTAATAAAAGAAGCTGATGAAAAACATCAAAGAGAGAGAGAGTTTGTAAGTTCTCTTTCTTAACAAAAAAATTTGTCGAAATTGGACCAAAGCCATTTGAAGCATTGAAACTTATTCTACATTTAATACGGCACCCGGGTCATGCTAACTGGTTTTTTGTTCTAGATTGAGAAGGGCATGTGTGTCTCAGAACGCATTTGGCTTTTATTTCCATTTTTTATACAGAAGATACACTGAAGAGTTTAGACCAACTAGTGGAAAGACCTGCACTCATTTGACTTTTCCATGCTTAGAATAATAGTCACCAAGTTCCAGAATTACACCAGTATTTAGGGGTTCAGTTTAATATCAAGCTTACCGAACACTAGTCTCATATATTGTTATATTTTGTCTTTAAATAAGTAACTTGAAAGTAGGGAAACTATTTGTCTACTTATTCTGGCATAATATTCTGATAAAATTTTAACAGAATTCTCTCTACCTAATCACTCAGCATCGTTCCCAGAGTGTATGTTCAGACTATATTTCCCGTCAGTAATTATGAATACCATGGAATCTCACTGGGTATGTACATTTAACACACGCAAATTCGACTCTATATGCTTAACCAAAACCAACCAACCAACTGGGAGATGATTATGGCAGTGAGGACTGTTCCATCCAGCTTCTGCGGAAGTACCGTAGGCGTTGAGGCGAGCCTGCTCTGAAGACTTGGTTCGTCAGTGCCCCTCATGGTGTGAACTTACCGTGTTGAGTGTGAGCCTAGGCTTAGGAGAGAGAGATTTTTCATACAGCACGATCCTTCTGTGTGAACTGATAATGCTGTCCTGTGCGTGATGGAAGAAACGGTTGTCATTTCCAAAGCAGGAGTATGAATTTTGTACATTCACACACGCACATGCCTATGTTGCACGTTTATACTTTGTAATTGGTTTAATATCTTTTCCAGGCTTATTTGGACTATGTGTGACATTTTACTTCAGGGACTGAATTTCAACAGTTGTTGACTATGCAACCTCGCTATATAATTTTCCTGAAAACTCAAGTATATAAATTAAAGCGCTCATCCACTTCTCCCCTGCTTTTTAAAAAGTGATCAGAAACTGGTGTCTGATTTCACTGCTTTGCTCCATACCCTTTCGCTCTGCCTCATGTTGGTTCTCAAGGAGTACCGTGGTTTTCTAAGTCACTTAGATAAATGTCAAGATTCTGAGCCCTGTTTTCTAATACCAGACTTGTCTTTTCACCTGAAACATAACAATTTAACCCTGAGTTTTGTAAACCTATTATTAGGCCTCTAGCGGTACTCTTTCTAAGCAGTAAAAGATGATTCCAACATTCCTTAGTGTTAACAAGGGGAACAGATTGAAGACAATAGGTAATGAGCAGTTGATGTAACAAATATCTATAGGCTTTTAGTTTTTGCTAAAAAAATGAGTGGAAGGATTAAGCCAGACTCTGATCATTTGACTTAATAGTCATATTTGTAATTACTATTAGTATTCTGCCAGAATGTTTCTGTTTTCTAGTTATTAAAAGAAGCCACAGAATCAAGGCACAAATATGAACAAATGAAACAGCAAGAAGTACAACTAAAACAGCAGGTAACTTGACAGCAGGGGGTAGCGGCGTTTGTAAGAAAAATCTGTGGTTCATTTGATACGTATCTTGAATTTTCTCTAAGATGCTCGTGCTTATTCCCAGCCAGAACTGAGAGTAGATCACGTGTCCCTCCTGGAGTTTTCCTCTTCGCTTAGGGTGACCAGCTCATCCTGACTTGCCCAGGACTTTCCTGGTTTTAGCATTCAGAGTACCGTGTCCCTGGAAATACTTAGGTCTCAGGCAGACGGGGACAATTGGTGATGCTGTCTGCAGTGGCCCCTTTCCAGTAGCCCAGGTATTTCCTCCCTTTCCCAGTCTGTTCCCATGTGTGTCTGCTGATTTCCAACTAAAGAAAACCTGAGAAATCTTCAGATTGTAGCTCTTTTGTATTAAGATGAATTCTACAAAATTGCTGGTACTTCTTTGACCTACAAAAATGGCAATTTCATATAGTTGAACCTAAAATCTTTAGAATTTTGTGCGGTGAGCACGTAACAGGCAGTTTTAAAAACTGTCAACCACCATACAGTTCTACTCCTAGATAGAGCTGTGGAGGTGGTGGTTTTCATGGGGGTCCTTCCTACTTTTCTCTCTTTTCTTTTTCTTTTTTATTGTTTGTTTATTTTTGAGACAGAGAGAGCACGAGCAGGGGAGAGGCAGAGATAGAAAGAGACACAGATTCAGAAGCAAGCTCCAGGCTCTGAGCTGTCAGCACAGAGCCCAACACAGGGCTTGAACCCATGAAGGGTGAGATCCTGACCTGAGCTGAAGTCGGAGGCTTAACCGACTGAGCCACCCGGGTCCCCCCTGCTTTTTTCTTTTCAAGTATATGATAACGTTATTGTTAAGCATAGTCACCATGCTGTACATTAGATCCTCAGAATTTACTCATCTCCTAATTGAAAGTTTTTGCCCTTTGACCATCATATTCAGGTATCCTCCTCCCGTCAGCCCCTGACAACACTATTCCACTTTCTATTGGAGTTCAGCTTTCTTAGATTCTGTATGTAACTGAGATCATACAGTGTTTTTTCTCCGTCTGGCTTATTTCACCTAGCATAATGCCCTGAAGGCCCATCCATATTATCACAAATGGCAACATTTTTTTTTTAAGTGGCTGATTAATACTCTATTGTGTATATGTACCACATTTTCTTTATTCATCTCTTTGTGGGCACTTAGGTTGTTTCTTTATCTTGGCTATTTTGAATAATGCTGCAGTGAACACAGGAGTGCATAGATCTGAGATAGAGATTTCATCTCCTTTGGATATACAGTATACCTGGATGTAGGATTCCTAGATCATATGTTGTATTTTTAATTTTTTGAGGAACCTCTGTACTGATTTAATGGTGGCTGCACCCATTTACATCCCCACCAGCAGTGCACAGGAATTCCCTTTTCTTCATACCCTCGCCAGTGTTTATTATCTCTTGTCTGTTTTATAATAGCCATCCTGACGGGTGTGAGATGACATCTCATTGTGGTGTCGATGTGCGTTTCCCTGATGAATCGTGATGTTGGAGCACCTTTTCATGTTCCTGTTGGCCATCTGTGTGTCGTCTTTGGAAAAATGTCTATACAGGCCCTCTGCCCGTGTTTAAATTGGACTATATTTGTTTTTTGCTATCAAGTTATATGAATTCCCTTAGATATTTTGTATACTAACTCTTATTGGGTATGTGGTTTGCAGATATTTTTTCCCATTCCATAGGTTGCCTTTTCATTTTGTTGTTTCTTTTGCTGTGCAGAAGCTTTTTTAGTTCAGTGTAGTCTTCACTTACTAATTTTTCCTTGTGTTGCTTGTGCTTTTGGTATCATAACCAAAATTTCCAAGACTATTGTTGGGGAGTTTTTTCAACCTATGTTTTCTTCCAGGAGTTTTATGGTTTTGGGTCTTATGTTTAAGTCCTTAATTTTTGTGAGTAGTTTAAGATAGGGGTCCAGTTTTCCCAACGCTATTTATTGAAGAGACTGTCCTTTCCCCATTGGGTATTCTTGGCTCCCTTGTCAAATATTAGTTGACCATATTTGTATGGGTTTATTTCTGGGCTCTCAGCTCTGTTCCATTGGTCTATGTCTCTCATTTTATGCCAGTAGCATACTGTTTTGATTACTTAGCTTGTAGTATACTTTGAAGTCAGGGAGCGTGATGCCTCTCTGTCCAGCTTTGTTGTTTCTCAAGATTGCTTTGGTTATTCTGGCTCTTGTGGTTCCATTCGAATTTTAGGATTACTTTTTCTATTTCTGTAAAAATGCCATTGTGATTTTGATAAGGATTAAATGTAGATGGCTTTGGGTAGTATGGATACTTTAATTATACTGACTTTTGATCCATGAACACAGGGTATCTTTCCATTTTGTGTTCTTCAAGTTTTTTCATCAGTGTCTTAGTTTTCAGCATGTAGATCTTTCATATCCTTGGTTAAATTTATTTCTAAGTATTTTCTTGATTTTGATGCTATTGTAAATAGGAGTTCTGGTTGTTTTTTTTCTTTTTGGTAATAGTTTTTTGGTGGAGTCTTCAGGATTTTCTGTGCATAAGATTGTGTCATCAGAAAACAGATATAATTTTACTTCTTCCTTTCTGATTCGGATGCCTTTTATTTTTCTTGCCTAATTACTTTGGCTAGGAATTCTAGTACTTGTGTTAAACAGAAGTGGTGAGAGTGGGCATCCTTGTCTTATTCTGATCTTAGAAGGAAAGCTTTAAACCTTTAGCTGTGGGTCTATCACATATGGCCTTTATTAGGTTGAAGTATGTTCGTTCTGTGCCCCATTTGTTGAGTGTTTATATCATCAATGGGTGTTGTATTTCGTGAGATGTTTTCTCTGTATCTATTGAGATGATCATATGGTTTTTCTCCTTTATTCTGTTAATGTGAAATGTCACATTTATTGATTTGTGTATGTTGAGCCATCCTTGCATCATCACTGGGATGAATCCCATTTGATTTATGGTATGTGATCTTTTTAATGTGCTTTTCGATTTGGTTTGCTAGTATTTTGTTGATTGTTGAGAATTTTTGCAAGTTTATCCATCAGGGATTTTGTCCTGTAGTTTTCTTATAGTATTCGTATCTGGCTTTGATTTCAGGGTAAATGGTGACCTTACATAAAAAAAAAGTTGGGGAGTGTCCCTTTTCTTCCGTTTTCTGGAAGAGTTTGAGAAGAATTGGCATTCGCTCTTCTTTAAGTGTTTGGTGGAATTCATCCATGAAACCATGTGGGCCGAGGCATTTCTATGTTGCTTCCCTATTTTCCAACCCAGACCCCTTAGTTTTGTCCTAATGCAAACCTTTCTTGGTGTTTGTCTTCTGTGGAGTAAGGCTAGCAGACGCTGCCTCCCCACTCAAAGAAAAGATAGAGAAAAGACTTCCTGTGTCTTTATGGACAGGTGAAATTAGGTATTTACCTGTAGTTCACCCTTTTCCAAGTAACTAGATTATATTCAGTTGAAGAAAGTATTACCTATTTTATTATATAATAAACCTGTTTTAATGTAAGGACTCTAAATTAGTTCCAAAATGCATTGATACATTGAGGCTGCTGTGAATCTTTATGACCACCTCTTTTTCAATGCTTTTTGTCTTCAGGCCTGTTTTACAGTGTGGTGATTGATACTCATTTCCTATGAGGTTAGACTAACTTTAGAGTGAAAATTCAAGAAGTCTTTTGAACTTCCCACTATAACTTAGGATTGTGGTAGATTGCTTCTAGGAAATTTGAAGCCCTTATTAGCTCCATAAACTCTGCTGTCCGTGTAAGTGGAGAAGAGAATTGATATGGAAAAGGTATATAAAGTCTATCTATGTGTACAGCTTTGGAAAATAGACTTGAAAAAATTTTTTTAATATTTGTTTTTGAGGGAGAGAGAGAGAAAGAGCGAGTGAGCAGGGGAGGGGCAGAGAGGGACACAGGATCCAAAGCAGGCTTTGCACTGATGGCAGAGAGCCTGACACATGGCTCGAACTCTAGAACTGCAAGATCGTGACCTGAGCCAAAGTCAGACGCTCAACTGAATGAGCCATCCAGGCGCCCCTGGAAAATAGACTTGAGTGTGGGAGTCCCTGCAAAGCACCAGAGGACCCTTCTGTGAAGCTCCCAGGCAGCTCTGATTCTGTTGGACTGTTCTCATTGTAACTTCTGTTTGCGGTCTGTGTCACCCTGGGTCGTGTTATCTGATTATTAGTTTCCTTTGCTGTCACGTCTTCCTTTTCCTAGTCCCTAAATGTGGCTGTCCTTTCCAAGAGTTGGTCTCATTCTGTGTTCTTACCATGTCAGTTTCCAGCATTTGTTGAGGATAGAGTCGAATTGGTGTTTGTTGACCCATTGTTCTGTAATCCAGGCATGTAAGGCCAGGTGTGATGGTAGTTGCCACTTACTAACTACCCAGTGTGGGCCAACATTGAGCTCTCGGATGGGACAGTCTACATGGATGTTGCATCTTCAGTAACAGTGGCTGTGGGGGTGCTTGGGTGGCATCGGTTGAGCACCCAACTCTTGATTTTGGCTCAGGTAGTGATCTCAGGATCAGGGGATTGAGCCCTGCGTTGGGCTCCGTGCTGAGCATGGGGTCTGCTTAAGATATTCTCTCCCTCCCTCTTCCCCTCTCCTTCCACCCCCCCACCCCTCCCTCCCTCTGCCCTTTTTCCTCCCTCTCTCTCTCAAATAAAAATAAAATAAAAAACCAAATAGAATTTAAAAAAAGCTGTGAACATGCATTTTAAGCTTTTTGAGATTATACAATGCAATAGGGACATTATTATGGTCCTTGCAAGCAGGGTAGTTTCCAGTATTTAAAGTTTACTTTGAGCCATGGTCCTCAAGACCCAAACCGGTCAAAAATCAAGTAAGTCAAAAAACCCCATTCCACTGAATTCTTTCTTTCCCCACCAAACCAATGCTTCACCTTCTGTTTCATTTTCCTGTATATGTTAAGGAAAGAGTTATCCTTTTTTTTTTTTTAATATTTATTTATTTGGGGGGAGAGCATAAGCGGGAGAGGGGCAGATAGAAGCGGGCTCTGTGCTGACCGGCTGACAGCAGTGAGCCCGATGTGGGGCTTGAACTTAAATGGTGAGATCATGACCTGAGCTGAAGTCGATACTCAACCGACTGAGCCACCCAGGTGCCCACCTTTTTTTTTTTTTTTTTTTAAATGTTTATTTATTTACTTTGAGAGAATGAGAGCATGAGCGGGGGAGGGGCAGAGAGAGAGGGAGAGAGGATCCCAAGCAGGCTCTGTACTGTCAGTGTGGAGCCACACATGGGGCTCGATCTCAAGAGCCACGAGATCATGACCTGCGCCGAAACCGAGGGTCGGTTGCTTAACCAGCTGAGCCACCCAGGCGCCCCTGGAAAGAGCTGTCCTTGATACCAAGCTAAGAACTGTGCAGGTGATGTTCTAAAAGAATGCTCTTTTTCCAAGGACAGTTTTTCAAATCTAAGGAGAGGGAGTAGTTGGGGAACAGTTAGTTGTATGAAATTTGCAGTTCTACCAACCACAGCAGTTTTTATTATAATTGGTGGATTGGAGCTAGTAAATATTTGTACATTTTAAACATTTACTTCTAAAGATGTTTAAGTCCACGAAACTTGCTAAGTTTCAGTGGATCTCAGTGGGTTATGGAACTTGAGCTATCTCTGTCCAGCACCCGAGGGCTGCTTTGTGTCTGCTCTTCCTTCTGTCACTTATAACAAGTAACTAATGCTTAAACATAGGATGTTCTTTTGGAAAGTCTTTTGGGATTTCAAATGGTTTACCTGGAACTCAGAATATTTCATACTTTTTTTCTGTAGCTTTCTCTTTATATGGATAAGTTTGAAGAATTCCAGACTACCATGGCAAAAAGCAATGAACTGTTTACAACCTTCCGGCAGGAGATGGAAAAGGTATTTGCGTATTTTTAGTAGAATATTACGTAAAAGGGAATTAGTAGAAGAAGCTGTGTTAAGCAAGATCACTGCCTGGACGAGCTGATGCTGTTCTGGTACAGTCTTCATTTGCCCTGTTCTGATCCTCTAGTGGCATCCTGTGTGGTCGTTGGAGTGGTAGTCCGTGTAGCTAGTGAGCTCTGTGCTCTTAAATACTAGCTTTATTAAAGTGAATTCCTCTGTCAAATACAATTTGTCATTACACATAAATGGTTTCTTTTTTTGTTGTTGCGTCTTGTTTTATTCACTCAGGTGACACCCCACCCCTCCTTCACAAAGCTCTGTGTTTTTGGAGATTTTTTAAAGACATCCAAGCCCAGAACACATTTTGGTTGGTTGATTTTATATATATAGATATATTTATATATCTATATATATATTATTTATATTTATATTTATATACATACACAGAGGCAAACACATTTATGTATATTTTTATTTATATATATATGTAATCAATATATATGTATATATATATCAGTGTTTCCATCTTTTTAAAAAATTTAATTATCTATTTTAAGTAATCTCCACACCCAACATGAGGCTTGAACTCACAACCCCAACATCAAGAGTCGCACGCTCCACCAGCTGAGCCGGCCAGGCGCCTCAGTGTTTTCTACATTTTTAGCTTTTCGTTTTCTTTTAACTATACCCCCACTGAATTCTTTCTCCTTCGTCCAAACCCTTTCGTCTTCGGCTTCGGTTTAATTTTCCTGCCCACATCAAGGAAAGCGATATCCTTGATACCAAGCTGAGAACCAGAATATATACACATATATCCCTAAATCTGTCCATTCATTCTCCTTTTACGTGGCATATTCCCCTTAAAATGGGTCCTTGGAAAAGGGTGGCGGGTTGGAGACAAGTACGGCGGCGCCTGGCACTTTGTGAGCATTCGGTGGGTGTGTCATGACTGTGACTGGACCGTGTGCAGTGGCGGGGAGTGTGTGCTCCAGGCAGCGTCCCGGTCCCGTGTAATATGACTGTGGACAGGTGGTTTAACCTTGCTGTGCCTTCCTCATTAAAAATAACAAAAATCCCTATCCTCTGTAAAGCCGAGTAATTCTGACAGTACTTGGCCATGTTACGCGCTCAAATTACCACCTTCGGGTATTTTTAGACCCGGTAATCTAGGGAATTTGGTGAGCGGTGGATCAGTTCTGCCTGCCAGTCCTCCCAGCTGGGGCTCAAGTTGAGGGGTGCTCTTTCTGCATAGCGTGCGCCCTAGCACGCTGTTCGGGCAGAACCGTTTAAGACGGGCTCTCCAGTCGCTGTCCTCGCCGCTCGTGGCTTGGAGATCACTGTCGGTCAGTACTCGACCCCAGTCTTCCACGAGCTCTTCGCATGGCCTTTGTCCCACTCTGCGTGGTGTTCGTTTTGTGGGTGACAACCCACCGCCCCGGGCATTGGCTCTGTCGTACCCTTGTTTCCCTTAACGGCGCCTGGCTCAGTGCCTCAGCTGGGGTCAGGGCTGGGGCACAGTCAACAGGACATGAAGGAATCTCGAAAACGGGACTCATTGACAGGCGCAGATAACTCTCATTGTGAGTTTCTGAAAACTGGGTTCTTGTAGTGCAAGTTTAAAAACGTTCCCCTTATTTTTGGAGCCATTTTATTGTTAGCAAAACCTGAAGTCGACCAGTCTCGTGAGGTGTGAGGATGCTCAAAGCTAAGGATGAACTACTTTCATCTTTCTCTCTCACTGGAGTGCTCGCGAAGTTACGCTGCCGATAGTTCCAAAACTGATACGGTCTTGGGGCTTGCAGTACGTCACTAATTCTTCTTTGCGGGGAGCTGTAGAAACCCCTGTGCTTCCAAGAATCAGATGAATTAGTTTAATGAACAGAAGACTCCTAACGTGGACATGTCTTTGTACAGTCTGGGGAGGAGGTCTCTCAGCTGGATTGAGAGATGCACTCCAGCCTAAGCCGAGAATTCAGTGTGGTGTCTGACCGCTTCCTCCATGTGCTGCTGCCTCTGAAATCGAGGAGATTAGATTTGTTTGTCTCATAATGTGAAACCCCTACTTTGGTTCCCGCTGCTGCCACCCTAGATGCTTCTGAGATCAGCTCTGCCGCCAACGGATGGGCACAGCTGTCAGCTGGGCAAGGCAGGTGCAGTGACGGGGGCGGGGCGGAACAAACTTTTCTGTGGCGGGACAGGGTGTACAGCTAAGAAATGGAACTTAGAATTTACATTTGCAATTGTGTTGATTGCCAGATGACAAAGAAAATTAAAAAACTGGAAAAAGAAACAATAATATGGCGTACCAAATGGGAAAACAACAACAAAGCGCTTCTGCAAATGGCTGAAGAGGTGAGGTGGTTTCCCGTGAGTAAGGTGTGTTTGTAGTCATGGGGACTCGTGGAGCTCAGGCCCTAACAGGGCACGGGGCGTGTGGGGACACCACGGCCGGAGTCAAGGGCTCTGGCCAGAACCGGGGGCGGGGGGATGGCTTCGCAAAATCTGCAAGTGTCTTTCGGGGTTGTAGGTGGGGGGCCCCGAGGGAGGCCTTAACAGATTTCCTACTACCCGCTCAGTCGGTCTAGGCTTCTGCTGGAGATCGCCAGAAGGCATGTGGATTTCGCTTTCTTCTACGGGAGTCAGTTCTCACACTGGAACTTGCTTCAGATTCCAGCTTGTTAACAAGCTTGGTCTTAAGACCAAGATGGCTAGGTTCCACCCAGAGTTCGGCTCACTAGCTTGAGGAATCAGCCTTTCGAACCAGTCTCCTGGGGCTGCCGGTGCAGGGCCCACCTCCAGAAGCACCGATGGGATCTCCCGGTGCGGGAGTGGAGTACAGAGAACAACTCCAGTGCCTTTCTTTCTGCTTTTTTTCCAGCCTTGAATCTTGTTCTCATCTAACAAAAGAAATGTATGTAGAAATGAGTCGTTTTCTGTTTTTAATCAGGCCCTTAACTTTTTTTATCTTTAGCTTTGTGAGGAGTATCTTGAATTCCCTTAATTGTTGATCGCTACAAAATGTTTTTTTGTTTTTTTGTGTGTGTTTTTTTTTTAAATTTTTTAAAGACTTTTTATTTATTTTTTTTTCAACGTTTATTTATTTTTGGGACAGAGAGAGACAGAGCATGAACGGGGGAGGAGCAGAGAGAGAGGGAGACACAGAATCGGAAACAGGCTCCAGGCTCTGAGCCATCAGCCCAGAGCCTGACGCGGGGCTCGAACTCACGGACCGCGAGATCGTGACCTGGCTGAAGTCGGACGCTCAACCGACTGCGCCACCCAGGCGCCCCTTTGTTTTTTTAAATTTTTTCAGTGTTTATTTTTGAGAGAGCGTGAGCGGGGGAGGGGGCAGAGAGAGGGAGAGAGAGAGAGAGAGAGAGGGGGAGACACAGAATCCGAAACGGGCTCCGGGCTCCGAGTTGTCAGCACAGAGCCGGCCACAGGGCTCAAACTTGGGAACAGCAAGATCGCGACCGGAGCCGAAGCCTGATGCTCAACCGACTGAGCTACACCAGGCGTCCCGCAAAATGTTGTAAAAAGTGGATTTTGGATATTTCGGGACCCTAGGATAACGTTAACCGTGTTAAATACATTTGGTGCCTGTAGCTAGGTATGTAGTGAAGCTGGCTAGACGGTTAGGTGGTGCTTGAGGAAATGGAGCCCGTTCAAGGGATTAAACAAGTAGTTTCTGACGGGACTCCGATTTGTTCACATTTTGTATCCCGTAAACTGTACTCCACGAGGTCACAGGAATCATTTTTCCTTACAGAAAACTGTCCGTGATAAAGAGTACAAGGCCTTTCAGATAAAACTGGACCGGTTAGAGAAGCTGTGCAGGGCTCTTCAAACGGAACGGAACGAGCTCAACGAGAAGGTGGAAGTCTTGAAGGAGCAGGTCTCGGGGAGGGCTGCAGGTGCGGACCTAGCACTGCCTGGGACGCAGCCCTACACTGCCCCGGTGTCCCCCAAGGAGCCGAACACTGCTTCCGAAAGCGCCCCGGGAGTCTCCCCGGAGGCCGTGCCCAAGGCGGCGAAGGAGAGAACGGCCGTGTCCGCCGGGCCAGGTATCGAGTCCGTCGACTGAAATGAAGTATGATCACTGTATCGAGAGCTATATTTTGTGTATAACTTTCTGTTAGTAGTAACTATTGGTTTTGTGGTGAAAATTTTCTTACTTTTTCTACCATATCTGTATTTTCTTAGAACTACTGGACTTACGTGGTACAGGAGGCTGCTTAGCAGTTTTGAATAGTTTTCCTTCGATACGTTTTCCTCAGCCGTGTTGCACATCTGCCTCATTTCCCTCCATTGGAACGCATGTGACCATTGCTTTGTCCTATCTTCCCTATTCCTTGCACAGAATTATTCTCATTTCACTCGAGATGGGACCGATCATTACAGGGGAACTTTGTTCTGATAATGGTTCCTTGGTGTGAAAACCATATTCATTTCAACATCCCGGCCCCTCGATTAATATTACTCAAAAAGAAATCAAGATGATTAGCTTTGTCTTAACGGTCCATTTAAATGCCAAGTAAAAATAAAGTAGGGTTGGGTCAGAAACCAGCATAGCATCTTTGATTCAGATTAGCTTTTTGATAATATTTATATCACTTGACAAATTGACATGGCTGCAAGCCTCAAATTATTCAAAGTTTCGGCAGATTATGTACATAAAGGTGTCGCTTTTAAAATAGTATATACAGGCAAATCATCGGACAAACAGGCTTAATCTTGTGACTAAAAACAATCCTACTGCTTCGGTTTCAGGTTAGAACTAGAACCAGTGTTTGAACTTGGACCACCTAGACACTTGGACCGCCGTGGAATAATATGGTCGTTTGTTGGCTTTGTTTGGGATTTGGGTGCACATCCTCCACTTCCCGCAGAAAGCAGCCACTGGTGGTTGTCATTTTAAGCTGGGGAGGGTTCAATTCGCGTGTAGCTTTCATCAAGCGGAAGTCCCTCCTCTGCTGCCTTCTGGCTACTTGAAATTTGGTGTTCAGCTAGTTGCGTGAATCCCAACAGCAGTTCTTCAGGTTTTTAAAAAGGGAATTTTAATTGTGGATCACGCTAACCGAAACATTTTATTTCCAAAACAGAAAAGACTGGAACTCACATTTTTAACTGTGGGAAGACTTGGCAGAGAGTTTTAAGTAGTCAGGATCCATTACTTAGGCTCTTGGTGTGTGGCTCTACCACCCCCTTTTCTTACTGTCTTTTAAGAGAAAAGCCAGTATTAATTAATCTAGGTCTCTGCAATTGGCTTGGACTGGGGGAACTTGCCCTCTGAAGCATGTCACTTCTGAATTTGTTCGGCTTTCCTTTGTTCTTAATCATGTTGAGTGTGGCTGAGTTATGCAAATGAGAGGTCAGGTTGCACCATGAAAGCTTGGACTTTGATTTGCATTGAAAATACTTTATGAAATAAAAAGGCTCTACTAGAATGGATGCTCTAGCACATTCCACTGAGCACAACTATCAAACTGAAATTGCTCACTGGACTGAAGTTTGTTCTGTCTAGTTAAAAAGGTTTTCTCTTTAAAATTGTAAAGTCCTGTCACAGTCCTAGTCTAAACTGGGTTCAGAGAATCGAAAGTTGTCTAAAGGAAACTTCCACCCTCGGTCATATGAAATTGAGGGGTCAGACAGTGGAGGAAAAGAAAAGCACAGAGCACATTCTGTCATTACTGTCAAAAGGAGTCGGAAGCAAAAACAAATACCCCTCCTCCAACGGCCTCTTGTTATAAATACTCCTTTCTGCTACTAGATGAAATGTTGGACTCGTTTCCCCTAGAGGAGGTGAAGGTATATATCAAATATAATCTACTTTGAAATTAGTACTAATGATTTCACAAGAACTCTGCTGAATGTACAGCTCTTACTGTTGAAGCCATTTGTGTAGCTCACCACGTTTCTTTGTGGTGCTTGTCCTGTGTGGAAGATGTAAATCTTGGACCTGTTGCATATTTTCAAGGGCTTTATAAAGCAATGTGATTAACAGTACTTGGCCTGCTGCTTTTGGCTTGCTATGTATTTGTAGCTAGATGCGATCACGGTATTTCAGGGAGGTAGATTCTGCTTGGGATGCACTAGGTGTCCTTTCAGAATCTTGCCTCCCCCTTACCCTGTGAATCAAAACAAATGGGACCCTCTGAGGAGATCTCCTCCCCACCCCCAAGCTGTCACCTCACCAGCTCAGTGTTGTGGCTTTGTAGCACGCCCTGTGTCCACCATATTCTAGAACACTGTAATGCTCTTAGGCTGGTCCAGAAAAGGTTTAAGTGTCGAATTCACTTCAGTTGCATTTGTTGCACCATCCTGGGATCTTGCTGTGTATTATTTCTAGTGGCGGTAGACTCCAAGGAGTAGAGAATACTTGGATCATGGACCATTTCACCCTCAGACTTGTTAGGAGTACATTTCTTGGTCTTGAGACCAGTGTTTTTTTAGTTATGTATGCAACTGCCTTTATTACACCTGGTTATCACAATTCAATTCTCAGGTGTTGCAGAAAAATCTACCTCTTTCAGACTGTAGATGGAAATAACTGTGAAAAAAAAAGATGCAGAGATCTTCTAGTTTGTGCTAAACACACTGCTTTATTTTTTACAGCCCACGTCTTTCATGAGGATACGAATTGTTCAGAGGCAGTCTTGTTTTGCTTTTCAAAGACATTTTGTAGAGATTTTTCACTAATGTGAATCTGATTTTATCTACTCGATTCTGTATAGATGAAGTAAATATGTATGATAAATTTAACGGCTTCTCTGTATTTTGTTCCCCATGTGTCTAACAATGTGTCTGAGGATTCCAAAGACAGCTGTAGATAGTTGGTTTCTTAGGCCTTGGGAGGGGTGGAGACTGGGTGGAAGCCTCACTTCGTGTGGCAGGCCTCCGTGTGTGCCTTAGCTTTGACTCTAGAAAAATCCTAGAAGCTTAGCTGCTGTTGAGCCCTAAAAAAACAAAACGGTGCATTTCTCCAAGCCTTGACTGCTCCTAGAACATTCCAGGGTGTACCTATTTGAACAAGAGAATTAGGTGTAACAGGCAGAGAAGGAACTTTAATTTTTGACAGAGTCAGCACGAGTGGGAGAAGGGCAGAGAGAGAGGGACACACAGAAGCCGAAGCAGGCTCTGAGCTGTCAGCCCAGAGCCCGACATGGGGCTTGAACCCACGGGCCGTGAGATCATGACCTGAGCCAAAGTCAGACGCTTAACCGACTGAGCCACCCAGGTGCCCCAGGAACTACCTAATTTATGAAGATGAGCAAAAAAGTACTTAAGCACATACATACAGATATAAGAGGGGCCAGCAAACAAGTCAGGTGTAGTAATTATTTTAGACTTAACGGGCCACAAAGTCTTTGTAAAAGTCCCATTTTCGTTCTTTTAAACCACCTTGTAAAAATTAAGCGTAGGGCGCTGGGTGGTCCAGTTGCTTAAGTGTCCGACTTCGGCTCGGGTCACGATCTCACGGTTGGTGGGTTTGACCCCATGTCGGGCTCTGTGCTGACAGCTTGGAACCTGGAGCCTGCTTCGGATTCTGCGTCTCCCCCTCTCTCTCTCTAAAATAAACATTTAAGAAAAATGAGGTGTAAAAACCATTCCTAGCTGGCAAGTCTTACACAACAGGTTGGGGGGCGAACCTGGGTTTGTCCGCTTTGCTGACCCTTGCCTTGTAAGCAATCAAGCTTTTGTGGGGGAGGGGGTGGGGAGACGTGGAAGATCAGGGTAGTTCTGGGTTTACAAGTCTATCGACCATGAACACACCTACCTTCTCCCTACCTTTGCAGTAGGACATTGTCCACGTACCCTGGAGAGAAAGTCAGTTCAAGGCACATACGTACCAGCTTTCTCACAAGACCGGACACACACATACATACTCTCCTACCCAGGTTCTAAAAGAATAAAACAGACTTTATTTTAAAACTTTATTTCTGCAAAGCCAATCAACAAGTGTTGGAGGGAAAAAGTGTAAAAGTTATTCTTGCATATCTGGGAACAGCAAGCACTTAGTTTGAGAAAACAAGGACTTAAAATAGTTGAATCAAAGGCAGTACCCTGCTACTTGCATTTTAAAACGGTGATGTTCTTTCTTAACATAACTTTCTTCCCTAAAAGCTACAATATGATACAGTACGCAATAGCTCACTTGAAAGTGCTAGAATCAGAAGGTAAAGAACGCCGTATGCCATCCCACTTACATGTCCTACTATACAATGCCTTTTTGGCGCTTGATAAACCAAGCATTCGTGTAGCATTACATTCAATAGAAACGTTTCTTGTACTTTGGGTTTTAAGATCCTTGCCCCTCCAGTTCCGATGTTGTGACATCTGACTCTTCGTCATTGTAAATATTTTCAGCCTGGAGAGGACAACCAAATAAAAGCATAGGTAAAAACGCCTCATCGTTTTTACAAAATTGTCTAAAACAGCATGAGATAATTCTGTCTACGCTTTAGGATTCGCCGGTCAATGGGTTTCAGTGTTGGAAATTTTTAGGTGAGAGGTTTCCCCCCACACTTTAATGAGGACACACTGAGGTGGTGTTCTTATTCACCAGTGTGTAAATCGCACCGCCATACCTAGCTGTCCACGTACTGCTTATTCCTATCGTAACAAGTGTTTTCCAAAAGTATTTCAAGCATCATTTGGATGAAGCAGTAGCCCCGAAGTTAAGAGATTTGGCTGGTTAACAGCGCCTTAGAAAGGTCAGGTACTTAGTACTCCTCACCAGAGAACTAACTCAGTACCCTGCAAATGCTGCCTACGATGACACAGCAGACACCAGACATCCAGCAGTGATGCCAAGAGCCCAGGTGAAGTGGGCAACGGTCGTGCAGAGCGACCAGATGCCGTGTCCACAGCTGTGTGTGTGTGTGGGGGGGGGGGGGACACACGGGTTTCTCCTGACCTGACAGGTACATAACTGAACTAAAAGACTGTTGTTAAAACGGACAAAAGTCTTTTAAAATTGTTTCCTTTCTGTATTTGGTGTGATATGCACAACTTATAATAGAAATACTTTGAGTAAATAGTTTCTTTCTCCTTTTCATTCAGGAAAAATAAACATTTTAGCTCACCATTTGCCATATCTGCATGATGTTATCCTCAGACACCGAGCAAATGACCCAAGGTTCATTGGGGTTCCAACTAAAATCTGATATCTTGGCGGTGTGTCCTCCATGAATAAACTGTTAACAAGAGTTGAAAAATAAAGCCTTTGTTTCGTACCTTAAGTTTCCAGAGCATCAGTCTTGCTACGGAGGTTTAGAGGGAGGGGTTTACAGGCTTAGTAAATCCACCCTGCACTTATTTTGCAAATTTCCAAACCCTCAGAAAAGGTGACAGAACATAACAGTGAATGCCTGGACACCCTCCACCTACATTTCCCAAATACTAATGTTAACACGTGTGTTTCCCTACACAGACACACCTGCTGAACCACCCCTAAATAATTCGCCACACATCACCCAAAAGTAAGGGTATTTTCCTACACAACCGCACTGCCATTTCCATACCTAATACATTTAACGTTAATTCAGCCTCATTATCAAATGTATGTAGTTAGGTACCAATATTTAAGGCAATAAATTTCCATAATGTTCTATTACAGACATTCTTAAAACTGGCCCACCTGAGGAGTCTCCTGGTTCTTCTCTGTAGGGCCCCCCCCAGGTGCCCCTTCTCCCCTTGCTAAAAGAAAGGCACACCTCCCAGCCACCCTCAATCTTTCCATGGCACATCACTCAAGGTGGGGATTAAGAACAACCACCACCACCACCCCGGGCCGGGGGGGGGGGGGGGGGGCAAAAAAAGCAAAGCCCCAGAAAGGCCAGGCAGAGAGCTTTGCTATGAAGTGAAGGGGGCAGAGGCTCACTTCCTACAAGACACAGCCTCATGAGAGAGTACTGGGCTTTCCTTACCTCAGAAGAATCAGAAGAAACCATTCTCACAAGGATAGTATGAATACACGATTTTGAACAAAGAAGTCACAGTTCCTGACCAAGTCTGATTTGACTCGTTTGACAATTAGGTTACAAGCAAGGTTAACTATTTTACCTAATAATTTTTTCAGTTTAAAAACAATAGGAAAAAAACAGCTTTTCAAAATCACGTTAAGGGGGACATAAGAGAAAGTATGTTCAGACCACAGGCTTGGAATATAGGAGTCCTCAAATCAAGATCCTGTTACACTAAAATTATAGTATCCAGTTTACCACAAGTAAATGTCCCTTGATTTCAGGCTCTCGTCAAAGGAGCAAAATCCTAGTGATTTCCTCAAGAACTACAAATTTGTTCTAGAACCATAAGATACAGGGTATCCAAAAATAGCTGGAAATCTTGAAAACATACTAAGTGCATGAATCAGTCACAAAAGACGTTATATTCCATTTCTAGGAATTGTCCAGAACAGGCAAATCTAGAGACACAAAGTAGATCACTGGTTGCTAAGGGCTGAGGAAAGGAGCAGACCGGGAGCGGACAGAGTTCCTTTTTGAAAGAGAAATGATCTAAAACTGATTTGTGGCAATGGTTGTACGATTCTGTGAACATACTAAAATCCATTGAATTACACAGTTTAAATAGGTGAACTGTATCTCAATGAAGGTTTTACCAAAATGAAGTACAAACAGCTGGGCGAAAACATCTTGTAGCAACGACTCAGCTAGAAAATACTTTAAAACCACGAAGCCATGCATCCCAAGACAGACTTTAGATTAAGCCACTCAATACAGAATAAACCATTTAGGTGCTATCATCTGTCTAGGACGACAGTTTATTAAGAAATGCTATCCTTTAATCAGCAGGACACAGAACACACTAGCACGTGAGAGTCTCCTTATACCCCTTTGCCACTTTCTGCCATTGCTGGTGGGCATGGGAACACATCGGACAAGGAGTAAGGGGATCTTGGACGTCCGTGCAACATGGAGGTTTAGTGAGCATCTTCTTTTAAAAGTGGTGGGCAAAGCACAAGTATACTAAAACTGAGTACTGGCCTAGGAACTAAAAACACGTTACAGAGGAATGAGTGACTATGTGCCAAGTAACTGGTGGAAACGAACGTGGATTCAGAGCGAGGACGGACCACTGTGAAGTCTGGCCATGCTTAGTAGGAAAGGGACTTAAAGGACGAAGACCGACAAGACAGACACACCACAGAAACCTCCCAAGGGCCAAGGAGATGTAAGTGATTCAACTAGGAGTAGGAGAGAGATGGTAGACCATGTTGGCACCAACAAGATCGAGAATGTCTTCATTTTCTGGGCAGGGACCTCAAAAACTCAGGTCACTAAAACATGTCTATATGGTTAGATAGTGGGAAGTATTGCTGAGTATCAATACCTAACCCTCAAAAAAACCCTCAGAAATATTACCATCGGGAATCAGTGAGAAACTACACTATTTCCCAGGAACCCAACTGGTTCTTAGTGAAACATTTGTAAAAACCTACTGTGCTCTATTTACTAGTTTCAATAAATGTCAAAACCCAATCACAATAACCTTTAAGACCTCCAATTTGAAATCATCTTCAAGAGCTAGCGCTTGAAGTTCTGACTTATTTTCCAGATACATGGATCAGTAACAAATTGTCCGATCTGCACATAACATTTCATCTTGCATAACAAAGCCAAAATATACCAGGAGTTCTGGAGGCCCATCTTCTGCGTCTTCTGCTGATTGTTCTTCTCCAATTTTGCTATTAAGAAAGAATATAATGCTCTCGTTATTGGAATTCTTGTAATGGGAAGAAT